TGATATACATATAAGATATAATAACATATATAAGAAATAATGATATGACTTAGACCGGAAAACCCGCGAAAAGCCGGCCAAGAAGCCGCCACAAAGAAAAAGAGAAGAAAGATATATCTTGCCTTGAAAGGTAGATACACAGTAGATGTGCTGCCAGCTTGAAACTGGAGCCCAAAGACCAGTGGTGTGGTGCTAACACATTGCATCCGAACGTGAAGAGGAGTGGTTCGATTAGCGAACGAAATGTTTTGTCTTTCACTTGTCCGCAAACAGACAGATGCGTACTGTTTGGTTTTTTGGGCGTTTCTCAATATTTTTACTTGTGATTTCAGGCTTCGGGGCGTAATGTCGGGAGTGCATTTTTTGGTTGGCATTTCTACCAAGGATTATGTGATACTGGCAGCGGATCGATCCTCTTTCGCACATGGATTCCTCGTCGTCGCTGACGGTATGCTGCAAATTTTTTCTTTTTATTACTAATTGCGAATGATTTTTCAAGCCACTGGTTTTTTAGATCAAAACTGAAAGAATTCCTTGAATCCCAGATTGGTTTGTCCATAGATTGACTGGATTCTGCAAAAATTTTTCAATGGATTTTGCTTTTTCAATGCAAATCGCGTGAAATTTTAGATCAAGGGAAGAAATTTACGCTTGGCGATCGGCTTGCAATGCTCTGTATGGGCGAAGGTGGTGATGTAGCACAGTTCGGAGATTGGTGCATGCGAAATATTCAGCTTTATAAGCTTCGATATGGTAACTTTTTGCATCATGGACAGCATTTGAGCATCAGGGGATGGCAGTTCATGAACTTGTTCTCGTAGGAAGGTCTCGGCATGTGAGTTTCGAGAGGTCCTATACTCAAAAAGTTGAGATTTTTGATAGATGAATGTTTAAGATCGCGACTTTTCGTTATCCTTCCTTCCTTCTTCATCCTTTACTGTTTTGTAAAAAAAGGGTTTCACGCACTGAGAGATTTTTAGCAAAAAAAAACTAACATTTTGAACAGATTGATCTCTTTGAAGAAAAAAAAATAGGCCTTTACTTGGCCGTACCTATTTCGTCTTCAAAAGGGCAAATTTCAACTCAGGTTCCTGTTGCTGGGAGGCAATTGGCCAAGATCCGATCGTCGCTCGGCAGCTGTTGCGGTTAAGTTTCGGATATTCATTCGTAAGTGGGCGGAAGGTTTTTGCTCCTTGCTGAAACCACTTTTCCTGCTTAGGGGATGTCAAAATCACTTTTGAGAGGAAAAAAAAAAAAGAAAAATTTGGTATTACGATATGAATACCAAATTTTCCGTAATTTTTTCTTCTCAAAATGAATTTTGTGCAAGGGCACCATCGCAAATGGGAGTCCTTTACGAGGAAAAAACGATTGCTAACGCTTATCACGAGAAATTCTGAAAGACTTTAGACCCATTTTGATAGAAATTGATTTAACAGGTGTAGTTCACTGCATCGATCAAATTCCAGTAAATCTTACCTGTCTTTTTTCACGTTCAATTACTGTATATTGTTAAAGGTTGAAGAGAAAATATCAAGAAAAGAAGCAATGCCATTCACTGTCATGTCAGTAGCTGAAATGAGGCGGGCCGTGTTATCGAGAGCCTGCAAATTACACTATTTCAGGCTATGAAATAAGTCCTCGTGCAAGCCATCACTGGATTCGTCGAGGTATTGCCGAAGCATTGCGAACTGAGGATTACTACACGGTGGATGCACTGATCGGCGGATATGATACAATCGAGAAGAAAGCATTTCTCGGATCTGTCGATTATCTTGGTAACGGTATAGCTGATCAGGTACGTTTGCTATTCTTTTCTTTTTTGATAAAAGCACTGTTTGAGAA